TTCGCGGGTAGTGGTGGTGATTAGCTGCATGCAGCAAGCCCTGAAGGCTGTGAGGCAGTGAAAGTGCGATGAAGTTTGGAGGCTGGTTGCAGGCGACAATAGTTGGCTGTGAGCGAAAAGTTTTCTTGTTGTTGGCTTGTGAATCATGAAGGAGAAGGAAAAATCAGGGATTTGGTGTTTGGATACGATTTAGTGTTTGGTGTTATGTGTCTGGTGTCATGGCTCTCACATGATGAATGTACTCATTGTGAATCATGTTTAGTGTTTTGACTCCGCGTAAGATTTCTTTTTCACGAGAAAAGAAATCGCAGCAAAATAAAACCATGTGATGGTGCTCTAGATCCGATGTTCGGCTATTTGGAGGTTGGTGGTTGATGTTCGGTGTTTAGGAAACTCATGTGAGCGTGAGCATTTGAAAGGCAATTATGTGAATGTGATTGATGCCTAGTGATCCGGTGTTCCGGTATTCAATTCTTTTGTTGTCTGATGGTTGGTGGTTGCTATTTGCTGTTTAGTTCAAATCCAACGAATGGGATTGTTTTGTCAGCAGATTGATGGATCATGGTCTGATTATGGTGATTGAAGAGTCAAACCCAATGTTACGTTCCGAATGCAATGGTGGAGGCAGATTGGGCTGATTCTGTTGTTTGGAGCCAATTTTGAACAATCGGACGTTGATCAAATGAAGATTCACGTAGTGGGAGGTTTATATGAGGTATGATTGTGTATCTCATGATTGATGGATGCTAGTTAATTCTAGATGTTGTTTGTGCACATGGCATAGATGATCTATTGGTCTTCAATGTTGGTCTATGAAGCACCGACTCTTGCAAACATCCCCCGAGTCCGTGTCCGACGCTTGTTGGAGACGGACACGCGTTCGACACGCGTCGGACACGTCGTCAACGACACCTACACGGTCAACGCCGCCGACTCGCGGCGGTCACTCCCTCGACACGCTCATTTCGCTCCCGACACGGCTAAGAGGTAAGGAAAAAAGAAAAACTGTAAACCCGAAACCCAAACCCAAACCCTAACCTTAGTTTTAACTTACCTGATTGGCTCTTCAGCTCTCTCTTTGATCGTGACTGAGAAGCAAACGTCGCCATCTCTATCGATCATCCTCATCGTCCTCGAGCGTCCTCGTCGGCTACCAGCTTCGATCGTCCTCGTCGGCTACCAGCTTCGAGCGTCCTCGTCGGCTACAAGCCTCGATTGTCCTCGTCGTCCTCATCGTCCTCTCAACAACCCAAACCCTAACCGATCTCTCTCAGTCTCTCTCTCCGATCTCTCTCTCAGTCGCTCTATCGATCTCTCTATCTCTCCGTCGTCTCCAATCACTTCCTCTTTCTCTCCCTTTCTACTTCGATTCTCGCTCTCTTTTTTTCGATCTCCGATCCCTCTCTCTGTCTCTGTTTTTATCTCTCCCTTTCTCTCTCTGATGTAATTACAGTAGTTAATTTCAAGAATATTTCGCTGTTTGTTTTTATCTCTCCAATTTAATTTACCTGGTCACTGTTAAATTATAGTCAATGTTAATGTTAATTTCTATTTTACAGTCAATGTTAATGTTAATTGCTATTTAATTTACCTAGTCATGAACTTGGAGAAATGGAATAATTGCTATTTTAATTTACAGTTAATTAATTACAGTCAATGTATAATTAATTTACAGTTAATTACATTATTTTAAAAAACCTCCGCCTAGCCCACTTAGACGTACGCCTAGGCCTAGGCGGTACCTAGGCCGTCTAATTAGCGCCTAACTTCTAGGCGGTATTTAGACTGCCCACCTAGATTTTACGAGTGTTTAGGAGAGCATTGTCTGCTTATGTGGATTGCACCCTGTAGATCTTGATTGTGATTTTATATGTCGTAGACTGTACGTCCTCCAAACTCCATTAACCTCCAAATATGAACACCTTCACTACCTCCTCCGACCTTCAGCAAAACCTCATCGACCATCACTTAAATGAAAAAAAAAACGTCCAGAAACCGCTTAGGCGTCCGCCTAGACGACTAAGCGTTGGGCGCTAAGTCTGACACCTAGAAGCGTCCAACGTTTAATGTAACATTGGTTAATTAATTACAGTCAATGAACTTGGAGAAATGGAATAATTGCTATTTTAATTTACCTAGTTAATGTTAATTTCTAGTCAATGTTAATTTTTTAATTTATTGTTATTGCTATTGTATTTTATAGAAATGGAACAAGACGGAAGTTCTAGTGGTAGTGGAGTACAAGATGACAAATGTCCGCTTTGAAAATATGTTACCAAATTAGAGAAAGGGGAGGAACGGCAGGAGGAAATTAGAGATGGAGATATAATTATTGTAGAGAGGATTTTATCGGATCACACTCAAGAGTTAAAAATCACCTCTTGAGGATAAGCGGGACTGGAATTAAGATGTGTTTCAAGTCAACGCCCGAAAACCTAAGGGAGTTTCAAAGGATGTTGGATCAAGCGGAGGCGAGGTTGAGGGCTTCTAGGCCTAAGATGCTAGTTTTGCCTATATCTTCGACTGCAAGTACAACTGGTATAGGTGCAAGTGCAAGCATGCCGATTGGTACAGGTGAATCTAAGAGGAGGAGGGAGTCTAACATCATGGAACAAGCATTCAATATGTGAGCAAGAGAGGAATTTGATGCATTGATTGGTAGGATGTTCTACACCAGGGGATTGTCCTTCAACTTGATAAGGAATCCATATTATGCCAAGGTTTTTGCATATGCCGTAAGCAATCCAATCTCTGGCTACAAGCCTCCCGGTTATAATTTTATGAGGATCACTATCTTACAACGTGAGAAAACTCACGTAGAGAGATTGATGGAGCCCATTAGGGACACATGACAACAGAAGAGGATCTCCATTTGTAGTGATGAGTGGGCGGATGCACAAAGGAGGCCCATCATTAATTTTATGGCGGTATGTGATGGTAAACCAATGTTCTTGAATGCTGTAAATGCCGAGGGAGAAGTCAAGAATAAGTATTTTATCCAAGCACAGCTAGAAAAGTGTATCAGAGAGGTGGGACCGAAAAATGTCATCCAAATCATAACCGAAATGCTTCAGCATGCAAGGCTACGGGAGGGCTTGTGGAGGGCACCTGGCCTCACATATTTTAGAATCCTTGTGTAGTCCATACACTCAATCTTGCTATCAAGAATATTTGTGCGGCTAAGAACACGGAAGCAAATGTCGTGGCTTATGCACAATTATATTGGATTACAGAGATATTCGATGATGCATTGTTTATGAAGAATTTTATCATGAATCATTCTATGCGGCTTCCATGTTTAATGATTATTCCAAGATGAAGCTCTTGTCGATTGCCGACACAAGATTTGCCTCGTGGATTATTATGTTGAAGAGGTTTAAGATCGTTAAGTGAGGCCTCCAAGACATAATCCTTAGTGATCGATGGAGCTTGTATAGAGAAGATGATGTGGGAAAAACTTAATTTGTGAAAGAGAAAGTCCTCGATGATTTGTGATGGGGCAAGATAAATTTTATTCTTGACTTCACTGGCCCAATCTATGAAATGATAAGGGTCACCGATACCGATACATCATGTCTTCATTTGGTGTATGATATGTGGGAACAATGATTGAGAAGGTGAAGCAAACTATTTATAGGCATGAGGATAAAAGGGATAACGAGGAATCTTTTTTTTATGAGGTGGTTCACAAGATCTTGGTGGGTCGATGGAACAATAGCAACACCCTGCTTCAGTGCTTGGCACACTCTTTAGTTCCACTTCCAAGGTAATATTTCACATTTTACTCTTTAATGCAAATATTTCTATTACTTAATACCTTGTGGGCTAATTCATGTTATTAACGAACATAGGTACTATCATTCCACATAGCTTAATGGGAACGTCAATCGACAAGCTCCAAATCAAGATCTTGAGATCTCTACGGAAAGAGCAAAGTGCTTAAGAAGATACTATCCTAACCCTGATGAACGACGGGTGGTGAACTTAGAATATGCTAAGTTTGTAGGGGCTTTAGAGGTTTTTAGTGATCTGGATTCTCTTTCCGATAGAGCACATATGGATCCTAAGTCATGGTGGCTTCTTTATGGTGCAAGTACTCCAAATTTATAATCATTGACCGTAAAGCTTCTAGGCCAACCTTATTTCTCTTCTTGTTGTGAACGGAATTGGAGTACGTATGGTTTCATTCACTCCTTAAAGAGGAACAAGCTAACCCCGGCACGTGCGGAGGATCTTGTTTATGTTCACACCAACCTTCGCTTACTTTCTCGAAGTTCGGAAGAGTATATGGAAGGGGAATCAAGAATGTGAGATGTTGGTGGAGATGCCTTTGACTCATTTCAAGGTGCCGGTATTTTAGATGTTGCCGTCCTTTCTCTTGACGTGCCCACGATGGAGGCCGTTGTGTTTGAGGAGGATGAATGAGTTGAAACCATAGAATGATCTTTTGATGTTTTAACTTGAGAACTTTATTTTTAAGATACATTTTTGGTTGTAATTTTTACAATGTTAGTAACTTAGGATTTTGTAACCATGGAACTAGTTACAACTTGAATTTTATTCTCTTGTATTTTGATATGCTCAAGATGAAAGTAATGAAAATTAAAATTTGGTATTATATTCAAATCAGTTACATAACTTACATTGTCATTGATTATACAAGTCAATGTTACATAATAATATAACATAAAAAATTGATCTATTTTTCTATATCATAATAATATAACATAAAAAATTGATCTATTTTTCTATATGTTCATCTTCTCTTTCTTGTCTTCTTTAACATTATTACATAAAAAATTGATCTATTTTTCTATATGTTCATCTTCTCTTTCTTGTCTTCTTTAACATTATTGTCTTTAATTCTCCAAGAGATCATTGCCATCCTGACGTCTTAATTCACACCTGCAACACACACTTTCCTTTAGTTTCTTATTTATAACATCCACTTTACATAACAAAAAATATAAAATGTAATAGGAATTTAATTCAACATTGATCTATATATAATAATAATATTAAAAAATCTAGTTGTGTCGCCGTGTTCTATTTTTTTGGGTTTTACCGTGTCCGTGTCACCATGTCCATGTCCGTGCTTCATAGATGTTGGTCATGGTGTTTGGATTGAGATGGAGCGTGTGATGCTCAAGATGATCCGAAAGTTTTGACCAAGGTAGAGCACGGTGTGATCACAGTAGATTAGGCGTGACAAGTTGAGAGATCAAATGTGCCTGTTTGGAAGACAATGATGATCGTGTTCATTTGTTCTCAAGAGGTAGAGCATAGTATATGTGTGATATTTATCTAAGATGTGGATAATGAGAGCATTGGCCCTCATGTTGTGTGAATCTCAAAGACTTTTTCATCTGCGGATGGTGTATGGTGCCTGGAGTTGTGACCCATGGTTTCTCGTAGAGAGTTTGAGCTATATTCACATAGGTGTGGCTAGATACTAGCTAGGTGGAGATTGGTGTAATGTGTCTCATATTTATTTTAGTATCTAGTGGGCTTTTGAGCTTGATGAGCATGTGGGCCAAGTTAGTGCTAGGGTTAGCACTATATAAGTCTCGTGTGAGAGTGCTTGAGATGAGATTGAGGAGGTATGCGAGGTTAAGAGATTGAGAGAGATGAGTGATCCCTCTTGTATTGTGATCCCTCTTGTAGTGTTCTCCCTCATACGTAGTGGATTTTCGTATTGTTGTCCCGTGATGTAGGTTGAATTTGGTTGACCGAACCATTTAAATCCAGGTGTTCCTCTTCATGCTTGTGTTATTTTCCATCTTATGAAATTGTTGTTTGATCTTCGGGTTGTGCGGATCGGGAATCTGGGATCGTCGATTGCCCAACAACTAGCACAAAGATCACGTTAATATAAGTAAGCTTGCTAAAGGAGTGGTTTTTGCATTTTCTTTATTGCTTGTTGTTTCTTGATTAGAAGTTACTTGACCTGTCAATGATAGGTTTAGTTTAAGTATTTCATATTGTGACGAGATTGGGTTCTAGGTAAATCATAATAATGATATATGGCCTCCACTTACAATCCTGGAACTTGAAGTTAACTTTCCTTGAGGATATAATCATTCAATTGGTAAAGAAAGATGCAAAACTACATGTTGTTTCTTTTATAAATATGTGGTAGTTTTCATAATATTCACAATATTTATCTATTAAAAGCAAGAATGCCCTTGTTTTATTTATGTTCTCTTTGGACAGAGCCCGTGATTTAGTTGTCCTTTTTTTCATTCAAGTGAAGGCCAAGTGTTCTCCCTTTCTCCCACTATGCTATTGAAGGCCTGCTTTTCTATAATATGTGGCCTCGACTTACATATCCTGGAACCTGAAGTTGACTTACCTTGAGAATATAATCATTCAATTGGTAAAGATGCAAAATTATGTGGTGTTTCTTTTATAAATAGATGACAGGCTTCCTAGTTAGTAATCTCATTGTTCATCTATTAAAGGTAGGAAAGCACTTGTTTTATTTATGTTCCCTTTGGACTGAGTCCATGATTTAGTATTTTTGTATATAAGTGAAGGCCAAGAGTTTTTATTTTTTTCCTTTCTCCCCTTATGCTGTTTAAGGTCTGATTTTCTCTGTGTGTCAGCACAATGAAAGATGCATACCAGGTACACTGGTTATTCTAGTCCTTAATCGAAATTCAAAATTAATAAATACTGCAATTCAATTCTTGATATTTGAGATGATCTAGCATGAGGTGGAGGGGCCGGCCAGGCGGCCACTGCCGGGGAGGTAAGGGAGCTGAGGTCAACCTAACATTAGGAGATGGAGACAGCTGGAGTTGAGGAGGGGGCTAGCTTGAGGTTGGTGAGGGGAAGAGTGAGATTAGAGGAGGAGGAGAGAAACAGAGGAATAAGTAGTGTCATATCTGTACCATTCTATGGGAATTTATTCTGGACATAGTTTACCAAAATGATAGAATTGACTCAAAATATAAATATTTATTGAAAAGAAAACACAATAATTCCTTTTTATTGTGATTTTCATCTTACTAAAATTAATTTTTTGGTCAATTAGTACTTGAATGATGCTTTGAATATATTATACAAGGAGAAAATTTTGAAATAAACTCATTCACAAGTTTAATCCAAAAAATTGACTATATCCCAAGTTTATTACAGAAATCGACCCGGTTTTTGGTCACGTCAGATTCGTGGCCAGAAACTGGGTCGTTTTTTAAAAAATCGCGGTCCTAATTAGTCGGGGTTACTAACCCCGACTAATTAGTTGAGTTTTAGTAGCAGCAGACGCTAACATGCAAGCGAGGAATATGGTTAGGTGGCAAATTAGTCGGGGTTTAGAACCACGACAAAATTTATTGGAGTTTGGAACCCCGACCTTTTTAGCAAGGAGTTATTTCAACCTCTCATCATTAGTGCTAATTATCAATGTTTTTAGTTCAAGTAGATAAACCTTAGTGGGTGGGCTTTTGTCTAGTGGCATATAATTAATTTTAGTGGTGTTATCTATAGGTCATTTGTTCAAGTAGATAAAATAGGTATGATGAAGGGAGTTAGGCGTGCAAAGCTAAGTTAGGTCCCCATCAATCAACATTATAATTATAATGTTAATTAAGAGAAAAAGCAAGGAGTGATTAGTGACCCCTCTCTTTATGGTCGGGGCAACCCAGCCAAATTTGGTCGCGGTTAGCAACCCCGATCATTTTTTATCACGGTTGGCAACCACGACCATTTTGGTCGTAGTTTTCGCCCCTAACCCGCCTGCGGTGGTAATTAGGCAACTAATTAGTCGGGGTTGTCAACCCCGACTAATTAGGATCGTGATTTTTTTTTAAATGTTTAGTTTCTGGCCACGATGCTGACGTGGCCAGAAACTGAGTCGATTTCTATAATAAACTTGGGATAAGGTCGGTTTTTGGGATTAAATTTGTGAATGGATTTATTTCAAAATTTTCTTCTATTGTACAACACGATGAGGGGAAAATTATCTATCCCGAAGACAGTATGTATACCTTTTCCTGTTCTAATACATGTGTAAGTTCATTAATAAACAAAATGAATTTATATTTCCTCTGTTAATTTCAAATAGCAGTCTTTCAAAAATCCATTTATCTAACTGAAATGATAGAATTTTCATACTTCAGTTAGAAGGAGAGTTAGGTTAAATTTTGTAGTTTTTGAAATAAGCTTTAGCGAAAGTGTATTATTAAATTAACTAAGTTACTTGAAGCCAGCCAATTGACAGAGCGCCATAAATTTTCGACTCCACTATTTCTACTCAAGGATGTGATGATATATTCTTTCTACGATAACTTTGAATTAGGGGGTGTTTGTTTCACTCTTTTTATGGAATAGGAATAGAAGCCAAAATTTGGAAATGTAGTCTTTTGCTTCCCAAGCTGCAAAAAGAATATTTAAGAATGTATAGATATATGCAATGTTTTAAAAAAATGCTTGTTATAGCTCGTTATGACTCGTTTCATTCCCTAACGTAGCTAAAATGTTACATAACACAAATAGAAAATGCATATGACACTTAACGGTGAAAAAACTCAAGAAAACGTGTTTTACAAGTGTTTTGTTAAGGGTTATATAACCTATGTTTTTCAAGGTTATACAATTAATTACCAGATTTGAACACGTGGATCACTCTTCACTGTCCAAATCTAATATCCGCCAACCCTTTATCACTGTAAAAGTCCTGATCCTAAACCCTAGCGTCCCAAAATATCTCTTGACTTCTGACAATGATGGTGAAAACTTCGATTATGAAAATCTTCGATTGTGGAAATCTTCAACGATGAGATTCCCTCCTTGACTCCTTCCCCTCCTTGGCTCTCTCCATCTCTATCCCTCGCTGAAGACTTTCTCTAATGACTTGGCCAGTATAGTGAGGTAACAAGGTTTTACATATTTGTGATATTCTGTTTGAAAATTTTGATTATTCTAATTATTAAAGTCATTGTGAATTGCTTGTATTTATGAAATATCTAAATAATTAATAAACAATATAACTTACATCATACGTTATGTTTTTTGTGTTTTTTAACGCTTAACAAGAGGTAAGCGTTACATTATGCGTTATCGTTATATCTAATATTGGATGTGTCTTTAGTTCAGGAATTAGACCAATACATAGATACAATAGCAATTGACTCTAAACTAATATTATATAACTAAGAGCGAACAAATACATAACATAATTAGATAATTTGATATGTGACTAACACCAAGCTCATGATCTACCATGATTTAAAATTACTAACCACAATAAGAGTACTATAGATAAAAGGCCAAAGTAAAAAATAATAATTTTAATCAACTAAATTAAAATAATAAGTTCCTTCAACTACAACATCATACAAAAAAGTTACATGTATAAACAGAACATAGAGGCAACAAAAAAACCCACTTATAAATGTGCAAAATGAGCAATTAAATATAAGACATCTTTCCACCGGAACCAGCATGGTCGTCCTCGTGAACACAGGTTTACTAGGCATCCATCTCCGATCTCCAAGCCGAATCAAGTCTTTTCATTCTCCATCACCCAGAACATCCAGCATCAAGGTTTGACACTAAATTGTCATTTAATTAAAGTAGATCTAAACAAAAATGAAGATCAGCAGAGGAAATTGAGAAAAACAATAGAGGTACAGTGAACAGTTACTAACAGATAGGAGACGAATTAAGGTAGGATATTGATGCTTTATGATTTGAAGAAAGTTTAAGGGGGTAAGAAAAGAAAGATAAAGACGATGGATAACAGAGACAAGAACTACCAGAATTTGGAAGGTCGCTGATAGGAGAGAGGAATGGTAGGGATTTTTTGATTTAACTGTACTCTATTTTTAATGGTCATTAATTACATGAAGGTGGTTTCACCTAGTTCGGGCTATATTAGGCATTCTAATTTAGTGTAATTCTTTTTGGTTGTTGATTGAAGCGTTTTGGTCACAGGGAAGAATTAATGGTTCGTAGTGAATAATTAATAATACTAGGTTCAGATTAAGGAAGGAAAGGGGAAAAGATTATCAATTTACAGAGGTTAAATGTGCGAATAATGGATTTTTCTTTAGTATAATAGGTTGCTTATTACTTATTAATTACATTTTATTAGTAAAGAAGTTCAAAGGTTAGTTTTAAGAAAAGAAAGAGAAAAAAACCAAAATAATCACAAGTTGTCAAGTGGCAATCAAGGGTCTTACTTCAGTATGTAGCATAGATAGATAGATGGATAAATAGAGAGACACTTGTATGGATGATTTAAGAGGTATATATGCAAATAACCCATTCTTTTTTTGGCTTTAGATGTGTATCATGTTTAGAATTTCTTATGTTTGCATCAACAAGACGAACATAGTTTGAAATTCTTTAAATTAAAAGCCATGGTAAGGCTGGCAATTCAAATTTAACACCATTCTCTTAGTGCCAAACTCTTGCTAGGAAAGAGTATAGCCCAAATTAGGTGGAAAATGAATAAGCCACTCACAAACACTCTGTTCTGCTCTGCATCTAGCTCAAATTTGTCCTTTAAGTTAGCAAACAATCTGAACTTGAGTTAGGTCATATTCACCCATGTTCGTCTCGGATAAGCTCAACAGAACATATTTTATTATTATGTGATATTATAAATATAATATTGTTTGTACGGAAATATACCAACATGTATATTTTTCTAAAAAGGTTGTCATTTAAGACTCAATTAACAGCGTTAATGAATTGTTTGTGAAAATTATTTTCAGTAGAAACTAAAATGTCTTCCTTAAAATCCACTATCATCTGAGTTAACTAGATGATGAAATAGAGAAGTGTATGAATTAAAGTTTTGGGCATGTCTTGATATTTCTTCTTATTAAATTTTTTTGATCAGAAACACTTGGGACCAACATCAAACTTCAGTTTGAAGGGTCATTGATAAAACGAGCAGCTAGTGAGCAGTTCATGTTCACTGTGTGTTTGATTCGAGTTTGAAATATATAAACAGGCTGACCCCAAATGGGGTTGCTTAATCGAGTTCAGAATATTTCTATTTTTAGCTCATGAGAGGTTTATAATGGTGAACCTTTGTAAGACTTGTAGCCTTTAGAGAAGCAACCTTGTTGGTTATATAGTTTGAGTCCCTGCAACCAAGAAGCAGCTCACTGATATTTTTGCAGACTATGAAGAGTTTCGAAGAAGGATTACAATGATTGAGTTTGTTGAAAAGTTTTTCCATCTTATGCCAAATAGGCCAAAAGAGCAGTACCGAAGTTCTAACACATTGTTACTGTTGATATACAGTATATGTTATTCTTTGTATGGATTACTTTCAGTCTCACATCGACTGTGATATTAAATTCCATACCCTTTTACTTGTGATATTAAATTCTGTACTGTTGTAATTTGTCTCTACAAAGAATAGCAGCTTTCATCACCAAAGCTCACATAGTACAACGGCATTTGCTTCTTCCTGGCAAACTGCCTTTGGTTGTTCCAAATTCAGATTGAGGGGGAGTGTAAATATTGTATACGATATTTTTTGTATAGGCTACTTTAGTTCCGGTGTCTGGAATATTAAATTCACCATGGTACTTGTAAATAGTAACCCTCATCATGATGAGAATCATATCAACTTCTCAAATCTCTATACTTACAGTTACAGACTGCATGGTAGCACATGTAAGATATCTATGTGCTCGTTTGTCAATTTTTGAAGGTATAATGCAGACCACCTGAATTGTGACTATATAACCTGTACAATCAACATTAGGGTTGGGCAACTAGATCCTAAATCCAAGTGCATAGAGACAAAATCAGTACTCCGTAGCTTGTCACCTTTTCCTCATGGATGCCACTAAAGTGATGCCAGCTAAAGAGCATTATTCCACTTACTTGGGTAAGTCCACTCTTCCCCTTTCTTGGACAGATGTATTTTCGCAGAAAGAC